TATAAAACGATCATGTATAAACGTACCAGCAGGGAGCACCTTCAAAGGGGTCACCTGGCTGGAAGCCCCTACACTACTAAGGTTCAGGTATCTTCAAATGTGGGTGCGGCTTATATAATAGGGCAACCTTCCAGGCGTTCTGACCCCGAAGGAATCCCATTGGTGACGTGCTTCCCCATTATAAGTACGCACCAATGTCTTACGTAATCAGAGCATCAAAGGCGTTCAACCAACGGCATGCAGAATCGATCATGCGCATGTGGCGTGTGTGTGTGTGTAGAGAGAGAGAGAGAGAAAGGCATAGGGGAAAACAAATCGTGCAGAAACACAGCACTCATGCCCAACACCTAATAAACATTACAAACTGTTTGAGTTATCCACATGACATGCATGGACGCTGTGGGCAAAACAAAAATACAACAAAAACAACCATGCAAACACGCATCTCCGGAAATCTTTCACCATCGCGACGTGCATGGCAACTATCTGACTCTCCGACAGCAAATCTGCTTGCATGGCATACAAAAACTCTGCCCTGAGTTCATGAAAAGTACCAGGCAACAAACAAAAAAACACATACCCCGTGGAAAACTAACATGGACCCTGAAAACCACTGGTTTGCAGAGGAAAACAATCTTTTAAGGTCCCATTCTCAGGGTCCATGTTGGCTTTTGGGAGTGTAAATTTGTATGTTTGAAGTTCAAGGTCGGATTGAACTTCCACTTTTTGCCCACCCACGGGACATTTTTCCGCCTGTCTTAGAGTCACAGTCATTCGCATGTACCAGCGTTTTAAGCTCATTTCAATGGTGTGACCACCTCAAAAAGGATCCAAACACCACCATGGAGAACGAAATGGCCAAAAATACCACGGCCAAGAAAGCTGTATGGTCACAGCCCTCGGACATCTCCATCCATGTCACATCCTTCTTCTTCTTCACCGATGTAACGAGTCCGACTCATAGGGATGGCGATCTAAATCTGGATGTTTTTCCGGGTCAATGGATTCCAGTCCCATGCCCATGCCACTCCATGGGACTGCCAGTCCGCACGGCCGAGAAACGGCCGTGAAACGGTGGGGATCAATGGGGGATCAATGGGGTGGCATATATTCCAGTCCCATGGAGTGTATGCGATGGATTCTTCCAGTCTCATGGATTCTTGCAGAACCAACGTCCCGCGCGGACCGCGCGGACCGGCGGTCACACGGCCAAGAGCACCGCACGTCCGCGGCGGCCAAGGTTGGAGCCACACCCTTACACTCCATGTATTGTATGGAATATATATATATATATATGCCGCATTGACCCAATGTAGGTCAATATGGCAGGAGTGTTTGGGACGACAGGTTCAGTCAAGCGGCCTGCGAGGTTCGCAGCGCTCAGGGTACTCTGGGTCGAAGATCCTGGTGACGAAGCAGACGGGGGTGCGCCCCCGTGGGCCTTTGGGGGGGCACTGCACCAGAAATAGTAGTCCCCAGCCTCTCCAAACACCCCAACTGGTCCCTCAAAACCTAGGGATTTGAGACCCCAGACCCCTCCATATGTTCCAGATCAGAAATAGAAGTCCTGCATGCTATTGACCGACACGAGTGGTTGGAAATCGAACAGCAAGCGGTCCGTTGCCGCCTTCGCCTGAACCTGCGAACAATGGACCAATGGAGATCCAGGTCACAAGGGGCGTGGGCGGTAGTCTAAGTTAGATTTTTGATGAATAAAGCACCCCAAACATGGATGCACGAACTTGCGGACGATCAACGACGCGCGCCCACACGTACCCTTGCAAGGTTTCTGGCGGGTGTCGGTGGGACTTTGGGGTGTGACACATGGTGGATGAAAAAGACATGTATTTGTACAGGGAACCAGGCTTCTACGAAAACGGCGCGAAGAACCAAGACGAACAGCAGCCACAAGCTCATCACCACTTCACGGTCACCGAATTGATTGCAGGCACATTCCCAAAAGCAAATGTTCATGGGGGCCAGGATGTGGGATCTGATCCATGTCTTTGTTCCTGAATAAGGACATTCGAATGTGTGAAGGGATTAACGTTTAGACGGGGTGGATTTCCCACTTGGGCCATGCCCGAGGAGGTCCAAGAGTCTGAACTGCGGGCGGTAGGACCTCTGTGTGAAAAGGCGGCTCATGGGGAATGGTCAAGATCCAATTGTGCATTTACTCCATGGTGGCTTGGGGATTGGGTAACACAGGGCGTGACACACCTGCCTCATGGTATGCCGTAAACCCAAGGTTTTTGTAGGCTGGACGTCCCCTGCTTGGAATACGCCGGGACCATTTTAGACTTAGAGAACGTCTGCAGATGTTGAATGTTTGACAATTAAACGGAAAGTGTCGGCAAGGACACGCAGCGATCTCTTCTTAAGTGGTTGCATCCGTACTTTGGGATCATCAAGTGTCAATGCAATCTGTGTATCGCCGTCTGGAATCTTGACTGGCTATGGACATGTGTCTTGAAAAATAGCATCTTTGCGGTGATTCCAAGAACCACCCAAACAAACGGTGCCGGTGCTGGGGTGCCCAAACCCAGCTGGGTTTGGTCAGTCCAAACCGGTTTGGTCCTTGACACTACCCTTGACCGAACTAGTTCGAGGCCTCGCTGCCTGTTTTTCCATCCGCCCCACGAAATTCACGGGCCGGGTGACGGCACGACCGAGACCCGGCAGGAAGGTGTTGTAGCTCAGTATGGAGTATGCTGTAGATCTGTCCAGTCCCTAAGGGTCCAGGACCATCCGATTCGGATGGTGGAGGTGAGTTCGTGCTTCCAGAGAATGGTCGTTGCCGGGGGGTCTGGCAGGACATCCGAGCAACGGATGGTGGACCCGGAGTCTCATGCTCCATCCCATGCTCGTCGAGACTGGAGACTGGACGGATGGGTCCCGCGCAAGTCTGGCCCGTGCCCGTGCCGAACGCTGCGCTTCGGAGCGGAGAAAGGCCGTCCTGCAAAGGCGGTGGTCCCTCTCCGTCAGCATGTTCACCTGCGGCGTGGAGACGTTGGTTCTCTCTTCTGGATTCGGCGAAACACGCGGCGTGGAGAGCTGCTATAGTCACAGCTTCTTTTTTTTTTGGGAAAGGATTTTTTTTGGTTGGGGGGTAGAAGTCCAAAGCCCACTGCTACGATGCTCGGAGGCTTTTTAGGCGTTTTTGAGGGGTTTTGTCACTTCTCAGGACACACGTTTGCAAGACTTCCCGGGTAGATCTGGAGAAATACCTGGGAAGGCCAAAAATAGGAAGACGAGGGGGAAACGGCCCCAAAGCATAGACTGCCGCCCAGACCGTAGTCTCTGTCACATTCAGATCATTCAGGTACCATGCACGTGGATCGCGGGATGTTCAGGTGAGAAGCGGGTCATCCAGTTCGGCAAGAGCGGAAGCTCACAGGGTTTTCCGGTGTTTGCTCACCATACCCTAGGGATCCAGTCGTACCTTCTCAGGTACGGTGAGGACGGAGACACCGCTATGTAGGTTTGGAGGGTCCAATCACCTGCTGAGAAGGTACGACTGGATCCCTAGGGCCCTAGGGATGTGTCACCAGACATCTTGAGACCGTCTTGATCTCGTCAATGGCCCCATGGTCCCCCGAGGTCTGCAGAACCTCTCGTCTGCGGCTTGGGGAATCGACAGGGGAGGATTGAGGAGACGAATCTGCAGTTCTACATCCTCGGGATCCACAGATACTTTCAGATGCGATGTGATCGTTACGATGTCACTGGGCGGCTCCGTCAAAAGGGTTTCGAAGGTGGATTCACATGGATCCCCATAGTTCAGGGGGATATAGTTCAGGTGTTGGACTGCGATGGGGCCGGACACACACACTCACACACTCACACATCAGCTTGAGCTCCAGATCCGAGAACCTCCATGGGACTGGAATATGTACCTACCATTCTACCCCTGAAAGTCCAAATTGACTCATTTGACCACCGAACGCGTGGTGGATCATAACTATCAGATAGGGTAAAATTATAGTCATTGCCGAAGCTCTGGGTACATTGACCTTTAAAGCATCTTCAAATCACCCGAACTGATCGGCATCATCTTCCATACATTGGAGTGTCTGCTGTCTGCCCTAGCCCTTCAATAACCACTAAGCAAATGGGAAAGACCTCGTTTTGTAATGTAAAAGCCTTAGTGCCCTTGTTGCTAGCTGGTAGCTTCTAGCTAAGCTACTAAGTAGTACGATGCGGCGATGCGGCGATGCACTTGTGTAGCGTAGCTTGAGTTCTGGGTAGCTCCGGTCTCCAACACCGCTTCGGTCTCCGGTCGCCAGAGGTTCTTCGGTCGAACCCGTCTCCGGTCGCCAGAGGTTCTTCGGTCAACACATTTGGTCTGCTGGAGTAGAGGAAGTAGATGGTATCTTGACGTTCGGTCAAAGGTTAAAAAAGTGACCTGTACCAGGACACACCCAAGCAGGGGTGTCTAGACAGATAGCCTCTTCCAGGGGCCAGAACCCATGAAAAATAGAGGTTGTCACATAGGAAAAAAAGGTCTCTGATGGTATGTGGATGTTTGTGGGCCTTTGGTTAGAGATTATCAAGGATATATCTATACGGGGTGTCCAACCACCACCGGGCAAACGCTGCTGGTCCTGGAAAATGAGGGGTCAAGTCGCTTTGCCTGGAAAAAAGGCAGCAAAAGGGCGGCCAAAGGAACCTCTGGAGCCGTTAGGACATGAAGTCAACGGCTCATACCGAACTTTCCATCTGTTTGATTCTTAGTGGATTTGCAGAAGAAAAACTACCAGCACCTTCAAAGAGGTCAGCCCACTACTAAGGGACCTCCAAACAGGACACCCCTTGAAGGTTCAGGTATAAATCTATTGAGGCCTTGTCGTTTTTGGGGCGCCACAGGGCTGGGTGGACAAATCAGCCGTGGCGTCAGCCCTGTCCACAGCCCTGGCCACCCACAGAGATCTTTCTTCTTCTCTCTCTGAGGACGCTTTCAGCTTTCTCAAGCCGAAGATATAAGCACTCGCACTTGTTTTCTTGTTTCGGGGTCCCGTCAGCAGAGCCGATGGATATAGAAGTCGTCCTTCAACTGTTGCTTCACTTTCACCTTGTAGTCCTCACTGAGGAAGCCGCAGCGAGTCCATGCACGAAGGTAGGTTGGCTGGGTGGGTCGGAGGTGGTTCTCAGGTCACAAATCAGTTTTACAGTTTTACACTACAACATACTACAACTAACGATTTGTAGTTGTTTTTGTGTTCTCATGTTTAATGGTCTTTGGAGACTATAGCACAGTTACCCTGAATGTCAAAGTTACCCAGCTAAGAGAAGTCTAGTCAGTAGTGTAACCCTGTCCAGTAGGCATATATGTCAAATGTGCACAAGTATAGTACATATACATGAAATTCCCCCATGTTCTTGACTACCTTAAAAAAGCTGACCCCCTCAGTTGTCCCTCAGAGAAAAGGTTACTGTAACCTTTTTCCACCTACAAGTAGTCTTGTTTATATAGTGGGGAAACCAACCCCCAAAACAGGCGAAAGGTTATCCACTGACTGGGTAGGAAAGGACAAACCGGGTTCCTGCGATGGATCGGTCGGATTTCAGGAGATGTGACCGTTCACCGGCACCTCGTGACCGAAAATCGGATCCCCAGTGAAAGGTCACTTTCAAACAATTGAGGATCTCACCAGATCAACCATTCTGTTCATGGTCTTGGAAGGCTATAGGATGATTCTCTTAGACTCTTAGAGGCCCGAAATCGGGCGCCGCCATCACCAGTGGACCGAGCATGGAACGCAGCCGTTTTGCTGCAAAACCCAAACCCTCCATGCTTCCGAAAGATCAGCTTGACTTGGCAAAGGGAGCGAAAGATCAGCGGATGGTGTCCAACATCTGACGGAACAATTCATAGAAGTTTGACAACCCCTGACACTCCAACCCTTACCCCGGCCTGGTAGTGGTGGATTATGACTTCCATGTAGGAGCCCAGTTCATGGGTCAAGTTCCGGAAGGTCTGGGGAAAACCGGGACGTTGCCACGCCGTGAACAACCGTGATGCCTTTGGAGGTGGTCCGCCTCACGGTCGGACATGAAGGCTTCAGATGGTTCTTTTTCCATTTGTGTGTGGTGCATGGGACAAAACCCCTTAAAGCAAACACCGATGTACAGGCACCAATGCACTAGCCATGCACTAGCCATCCTCAACGGCCTCAAGTAGACAGGCTTGCGGCTTGGTCTGTGCTGTTTCTCTTCTTGCTGTTCTTTTCCCGCCAAGGCTCATGTTGTGAGGTCAGGGCTTGATGGAACATCTCGACCCAGGGTCCAAAGCCATCTTGCACGTACAGCAGCCCACCGCAGGCTAAGTGGGACAACATGTTCCTGAGGGGCCGCCCAAGAGGAAAGGGATACGGAGCCTCTCACACTCCCCAACAATCGAACAAACACAAACAAAACAAGAATTCCGAATGTCTGAGTACCCTTCTTTGTCTCACTCTGTGCAACTGAAAATCCACTGATACACTGATACATCTATAATCTGTACAGCCTCCTCCTCAGTGGTTTTTCCTGAGATCAGTGCCTGGTGAACCAAAATTGGCTGGGAGACGCAGTCAATATCCAGGCAGGACACCAATCTTTCACAGGAACCCGAAGGTAGGGACCGCTATCACTACTTGGGTTTGCTTAAGGAAGCAAACAAAATCACCAAACAAATGACCTAAGCAAATCAGGTTTGGATCTTGAATTTTGCGGACATGTCAGGTGAGGTCGACCACGGTCTGAAAACAAAGAAAGTCATCTTGAAGCCCAAACACTTCATGCACAATCATGCACATATGTCCAACATTTGGTGGGTTTTTGGTGAATGTCGGCCATATTTGCGCCACCATGGAGCGTCCTGGGATGCGGTGCGCGCTCCGTACACATGCCCCAGACTCACGATGACCCGTCGGCCCGAAGTCCCGAAGTCCAAGCTTCTGCAGGAACAGGCCATGAGCCTCGACATCCTTGTTGTGATGCAATCCTCGAGCTTCATGGAGGCTAGGGGTGTCCAGCTACTCCACTCACTGGATGGGACTAAACACCACCCCGTCTTCTATACTAGACCTTGGGTCTATCCTATTACCTGTAAGGGACAAAACTAGTGATTTGCTTGTTTACTCACTGTTACAGGTCAGAACGGACAAACCCAAACTATAGACCCAATCGTAACATCTTAAAAATCATTTCCATCGATGGGTTCTAAGGGCCACAGGCAGGCCACCACATCGCCCAGTGAGGATCCGTGTGTGCGGCTCGTTGACCCCGACAGGACTCCGTGGGACGGCCACCTCAGGTGAATGTGGTGATAGACCATCCCGCAAACGTACCCCTGTCCCGACGACGGACACCATCAGACACCGGGTTCCCCAAACACTCCATGGGACTGGCATATTGACCTACATTGGGGTGGTTGAAAAGGGGTCAATGTAGGCATATATTCCATATATGGAGTCTGTATGGGATAGATACCCTCGAACGGGACCCCAGTCGAGATGCATGGCACGATCTTTGAGCAAGGATGCAAACATAGTCTGTAAATAATAGAATCGGATTTACCATCGAAAAATGTGAAATCCAATCTGACACATCTCAAGCTAAACCCTACCACCCTAGCCCGAAAAAAGAAAGAAACGACGACCTTCCGATCATCACAGCCCCCCAGAAGGTACTTCTCAAGCCACTAATTAGATGGCCGTTCAACCGAAGGAAACCGCCTACCTGAAAGGAAGGGCCACGTCCATCATCGTCCTGCCACACCGAAACGCCCCAACACGCCAGCGAGTTGGACCCCTGCGATCGGGACCCGTGCGGTCCGGAGCCAAGGCACCTTCCACCTGAAAGATGAGATCGAACTTGCAGCTGGCACAGATGGGCATCTGCTTGAGCCAATTCTGCTGGAAGGACAAGGCACCGCGCTCCGCACAGATCCGCAACATCGAACAGTCGTAGGCTCCAAAGGCCAAGTAAACATCCAGCTTCGAAAGCAGTCTTTGCCGTCGCAGGGTGCCTTCCTGATCCGCGCGGCGGAGCAGTCTTTGGTCAAGCCGGAATACAGGCATGCAGGCATGAGGGAGGAGAGTAGTGAAGAAAAAGGATGGCTGATGGCTTGGAAACGAGGAGAACTCTCAACGCTCACACATATATATACATATTACTTGGATTTGATTAAGGTACCGGGAAAAACTATCCCAACAGGGATTTACCCATAGGGAAAAGAACATCACCTTGTGTAATATGAGCTGCTGCGGTCAATTTTTCCTATGTTGAGAGCATTCACCAAGAAGAAACAGAAAAAACCGTGGGATCATAGTTCGATCACTAAATCTGTTCAATCGCATTTATGCAATCATATGGTTGTCAGAAAGGATCTTCTATAGTTCAGGAAACAACTCTCAATAAACCTGTGACTTGGATGCAAGCTCTTCAGTTCTCTGCGCACCCGATTCTTGCCAAAAACACAATGGGCCAAGTTTTCTGAAGAGCTGTCCTTCCCGAGTTCTACAACAAAAACCAAAGGAAGTTGGATGTGTCATATCCATATCTGATGATCAGTATATGATTGTAAGGACCCCACTTCAAAGGTATCTCCTTTTGGTTCCATGTAGTAAGGCGTTAATGTCAGTGGTATCAATGCTTGATTGAAGCCACTTTATGTATATATATAATATAATAATAGTTTAAAGTCAAAGGAACTTGCGGACATCGTTTATCACCCAAACACTCCATGGGACTGCCATAGGACTGCCGCCCCATTGACCCCCCCAAACTCACCACCCCTGGCCGTTTCTCGGCCGTCCTATGGCAGTCCCAGATCCGAACATCACATGCGCCGTGAAGCTCTAAGCTCTGATATATCTAAGCTCTAAGCTCTAGTCCCTGCAACCCTTGAAACCCAATGCACGCTCGTCTTCCTTTAACAAAACAAATTCCTCTCCTCACCTGTGAAGTTCCCACGTTCTTGTTCCTTCCAAGATTCCAAGGTACAGGAACCAGCTCCAGCGTCCAAGAGGCGTTTCACCTTTCCTTCAGTGATCAGCTGGCTGAACCTCCACCTGAGCGCAGCTGAAAGGCAGCTGTTTGCCACGGCCAGCGCCTGAATCCCATAGATCGGAGCGAGATGTCGCTCTGGGGCAGACCCAAAAGGGAAGAAAGTATATAATCCCTAGGGATCCGTTTTCGTACCTTCTCAGGTTTGGTGAGCAAGGAGACACCGTTGTGATCCGTTATGTAGGTTTGTGTCGGTGATGTATAGGTTTGGAGACACAACGCATGGGATTGGAATATATGCCGCCCCATTGACCCCGGCTCAACCACCCCTGGCCTGATCGGCAGGCCTATGACAGTCCCATGGAGTGTCTGGGAACGTTTTTTTTGTTTGGTCGGATATGTTATTTTCTTCCCTGCAGCAACCAGCTTTGAAGGTCTTAATCCGACCAAAACACAACGGAAAAGGAGTGATGTCACAGGGTGTCTAGGCCTCATGCTCATAGTGTCATAGTGTTGATGGAAGAATACTGTCACGACCAAGTTCATCACATAAAAGCCTGTTGGTGCGGATGTGTCACGTTTCTTCCTTCCAACAGTTCATTCTTCATTCCAATGTCATGGCGTCCGATGCAACTTGCATCCCTTCAGATGTGCCGGCACCGGCGGCGTTCAACCACTGGTTCAGATGTGCTGCCGGCGTTTGGTACCAAAAAACACTGGGCTCCGGGTCCGAACTGAACGCAGAATGGGCTCGGGCTCGGCCGGCACCGGAGGATCGATCGCACGCACGCATGCTCCCAGCGGCTCACGCTTGTTGGGCTCGGAGGACACGTAGTTGTCATTGTACCATGCCCTCGGATCGAGGATCACGGCCGGAGGGCGCGTTGGGGTGTTTGTGGAAAACGGTAGGAAGACCAGCTCCGACTGGCTTTCCCCGGTGAAGGGTTCAGGCATCTTTCAATGACCAAGCTGTGCGAATTCTTGTGGATCTTTGAAGGTCCAGCCATTAATAGCCATGGCCTCCAACCTAATAGCGATGGCCTCCAACCTACATGAATAAATTGATTGATACATTGTTTGATTTCTCTGATTGCAGATTCTCTGAGTTTTAGAGTCATGGGATTTCGAGGCTGACTTCCATGCCTTTTCCCCGGCCTCCCGAACCCGAACCCAGTCCAAGCTCGGGGCAGTCAACACAGGTTGAGCTGGTTTGACCTGATGTTCAAAAAAAAGAAATAACCATGCTTTGCACAGCAGATTGTTCAAATCGATCATCGAACAGGCTCCTCGCCCGGGAATGCCCGGGATGGTCGATCCCGGGTCGTTGCATGTCCCTCATCCAAGGTGCCTATCGCTTGTGGAGACCTTCTTCACCCAGTTCTTCACCTATGGAGTCGACCAGGGCACTTGCTTTTTCAGGATACCCAAACACCCAGGAGCCCCTGTTTGGGGCTTCTATGGATAGCCCCTTATATCGAGGTGATTCGGGGTTGTCCATTGACCACCCCGAGCTGGTGGGTCTCCACATCCGAAGTGAGGTGATATCGAGTGGGTCAAGGTGCCTTCGATCCATCTCCATCCCCTGAGTCTGGCACTTCTTGGAAACAATCCAGCTGTTCAGCTCTCCCATCTGTTGACCAACCCTAGGGATCCACATACCTTCTCAGAAGATACTTGGGCCCTCCAAGCCTATATAAATAGTCTCCAATCACCTTCTGAGAAGGTAGTTGGATCCCTGGAGCAATGGGGCCTCTTCAAAACGGTGACCGGTGAGGCCCCCACACGGTGTAAGACTCATTTCCAGTGGATGGCCTATGATGGCGTCCCATCTCGGAGAATCATGTCCTCTATACCAACAGCTGGTGAGTTCACCCACTGAACCATGGATCATCTCTAATAGTTGTAGATTCAAATACAGTAGATGCACCTCCCACCGGGCCCGGAAGCGCGCACCCGAAGCGACGGCGCACCCGCCACACGTCTGGAAGCGGGAGCCCGATCCCGCCACAACACATCCGATGGATCGGCGGCCAAAGAGATTGAAACTCGACAGTTTGAACAGATATATTCCTTGGGTCTATCCGATCTATCCAGGGTCCAGTGGATGGGGCCAGGTTGCAGGCCTTGTAAATAGTGATTTGCCTGTTTACGGACTGTTACAGGTAATAGGACAGACCCAAACCATGAATACAATGCAGAATTTAGCTTGATTGATCAATCCCCCCCTGTTTGGATAGTAAAAGCTCTTTGTAGTTACGAGTAACATGAATCAAGAGTTGAATTGTGTCGAATTTGATCAAATCCAATTATGAGAGAGAGAGAGAGCGAGCAAAAACGACCAGGTCATGCTCCATGACTCATCGTCTCTTCGTCTAAGAATGACTCTCACTCACCAAGCGATCCAAATGGACCTCGACATGTCCTGGTCGCCTTTTCCATGGAAATTCAGCCGCTACAGGAACCTGACAAAGTCATCCCTTGCCATTATTTCAATGCCAAATCACCATGGCAACACTGTTTCCAAGAAGTCATCCCCCGGGAGCTAATCCCAATGGAACGCTGATAACCCAAACAAGATGTCTCACCAACCCAAAACAGACCCATTTGGAGTGCCAAACACCCTTGGAACTCGGTGTTTCCCATGTGAATCTCCCGGATGATCTGGACGTCCAATCGATCGACTTCGTCTCCCTTTCGTGGGTCGACCTCCTCTCGGGAGTCCAGCACATTAGGACGATGCCAAAGTCTCAAACGTTGAAGCTCCCAGCTCTCCTGAGACGTCTCCGGAGTGTGGATTCCCCATGGAGTGGACAAAGCACCACCCGATTCCTGGCTCACCATTGGTTTAATGATTTATATATATCTTTCTTTACCAAAGACACAGATTTACTATAAGGATTTCAACATATTTCAACAGATCCAGGTAAACCATTTTTTTAACATCTCTTAATGGTCTATTTGAAGGCTATAACGCGGCGAACGGGCCCAAGGCGCCAGCACCTTGTTTCGGGGGTCGATGTGTTTCGCTCTCTGGGTTTCGCGAGTGCTGGAGATGTCTAGACATTGGGGGGGGTCAACCCGAACTGGCTGGTGCTGGAGGCTCCGTCACGAGCTCTCAGTTCCGTGATGCCATGGAGGCTCGTGCCGTGTGGAATCGTTCTCTCGAGTCTTCTCGAGTCACACCCGGTATGTGAGACCCACGACACCGGGCGAACCGCGACATGCATGGACCAGACTGGAAGACGACTTTCCGAATACCAACCCAGTGGTTTGTCAGGTTCCATATTGATCTTCCAGGGCGTCTGGAATATGACGCCTCACACCATCCCAATGCAAATCTATATAGTGTCTGGGTAGGTCCCTTCTGCAAATGAACCTGGATCTTGAAAACCACTGGGTTGTAGAGAAAAACAAGATGGAGCCCACCAACCCGAATGCAAACACGATCGAAAAGCTACATATGTCCAAATGACACTCTTGTAGGACACTCTTGTGGGACACTCTTGTGGGACACTCTTGTGGGACACTCCTGTGGGACACTCTATTCGGAAACTCTTGTGGGACACACTTGTGGGACACTCTTGTGGGACACTCCTGTGGGACACTCTTGTGGGACACTCTTGTGAGACACTCTTAAGGGACACTGTTGCGGGACACTCTTGTGGGACACTCTTGTGGGACACTCTTGCGAGACACTCTTGCGGGACACTGTTGCGCGACACTCTTGTGGGACACTCCTGTGGGACACTCTTGTAGGACACTCTTGCGGGACACTCTTGTGGGACACTCTTGTGAGACACTCTTAAGGGACACTCTTGTAGGAGACTCTTGTGGGACACTCTTGTGGGACACTCTTGTGGGACACTCTTGTGGGACACTCTTGTAGGACACTCTTGTGGGACACTCTTGTGGGGCACTCTTGTGGGACACTCTTGTAGGAAGCTCTTGTGGGACACTCTTGTAGGACACTCTTGTGGGACACTGTTGCGGGGCACTCTTGTGGGACACTCTTAAGGGACACTCTTGTGAGACACTCTTGCGGGACACTGTTGCGGGACACTCTTGTGGGACACTCCTGTGGGACACTCATTTGGGCCACTCTTGTGGGACACTCTTGTGGGACACTCTTGCAGGACACTCTTGTGGGACACTCTTGTGGGACACTCTTGTGGGACACTCTTGTGGGACACTCTTGTAGGACACTCTTGTGGGACACTCTTGTAGGGCACTCTTGTGGGACACTCTTGTGGGACACTCTTATAGGACACTCTTGTGGGACACTCTTAACTCTTGTGAGACACTCTTGTGGGGCACGGTTGCGGGACACTCTTGTGGGACACTCTTGTGAGACACTCTTACGGGACACTCTTGTAGGTGGGACACTCTTGTAGGACACTCTTGTGGAACACTCGTACGGGACACTCTTGCTGCACATTCTTGTAGGACACTCTTGTGGGTCACTCTTACGGGACACTCTTGTCCACACTTGTGGGACACTCTTGTGGGACACTCATACGGGACACTCTTGTGGGACACTCTTGTAGGACACTCTTGTGGGACACTCTTGTAGGGCACTCTTGTGGGACACTCTTGTGGGACACTCTTATAGGACACTCTTGTGGGACACTCTTGTGGGACACTCTTGTAGGAGACTCTTGTAGGAAACTCTTGTGGGATACTCTTGTAGGACACTCTTGTGGGACACTCTTGTAGGACACTCTTGTGGGACACTCCTGTAGGGCACACTCTTCGTACGAGACTTCCTCCAAAAGTCACACTGCGAGGCTGCAAGACGAGCTTTTCGTACGAGACTTCCTCCAAAAGTCACGCGTCAAGTCTCAAAAACGAGCGTTTCGTACGAGACTTCCTCCAAAAGTCACACGTCAAGTCTCCAAAACGAGCGTTTCGTACGAGACTTCCTCCAAAAGTCACATGTCAAGTCCCCAAAACCCTCAAAAACTCACATGTCAAAGTCTGCAAAACGAACATTTCGCACGAGACTTCCTCCAAAAGTCCAGCGGAAACACCCATCGGAGCATACACATCACGCAGCCCTGCCAAGCAGTTTCGCGATTCCAGCCCCTCCAAACGACACCCGCTCACACGCCAATCCCAATGGGACAGCGACATTCACCTCTACCACAACTCACAACCTCCCGATTCCCTGCGCCTGCCACGAATCTTTCCGCGTCCGTCCACACGTCTAACGCGCACAAAGTACTGCGCCTGCCACGAAATGGCACCTCCGTCACACCTCGCAACCTCACGATTCCCTGCGCCTGCCACGAGAATCGCACTTCCACACCTCAAAAGCCGCACAAAGTACTGCGCCTGCCACGAAAAGTGACAATATCGTCTCATGTGAGCTTCAACAAAATTTGCACCACACCACACGTTTGGAATGATTTCGACCCGTTCTGAGCACACTCCCATCCACCAAAACCGGCATTTCAGCTGAGACTTGTCACGAAAACAGAGCTTCGATGCCACACCCTGAAACGCAAATCCCAATGGCACAGCCACATCCAACACCCCAAAAACACGACTCTCCAAACGCTAATCCCAATGGAACTGCGCAGCAATCTGCAGATCTCACAAAACGCTGCGCCTGTGCAGCGAAACGCATTTGGTTTCTTGCGCAGCATGTCATTTTCATGCAAATCACAATGGAATAGCGGCGCAAACTGACACGTGACACATCCATGAAAAGTCAATGGCAGCGCCTTAGCGCTCTACTGCGGACGGTTGCGGACGGTTGCGAACGGTTGCGAATGGTTGCGGACGGTTGCGAACATAGAAGCAACGGGTCGCGAACAAGGCTCCACCCCCAGACCCCCAAGAGTTAAACGAGAACCCTTCGCTACGCATTCGGGAAAACTATCTGCAGGGGAGTATTTTCTTGAGCGTAAGATCCCCTTCATCAAACAATCGTCCCTGTTGACGGAGCGCAATCCTGCAGCGCCTTTGTTGAGGATGATCTCTTAGTGTCACGTGTGGATGAGTTATGTGTCAAAGCACTACAGCATGCAGCGATCATCGAAAAGGCTTCCTTGAACGTTGGAGTAGTTTGCTGATATCACTGATATCGATGTCCATCAATCATCTCAAGGCCACCCTAATCATTCACTCTTGATTTCACCTTCTGGAGCTCAACCTATTTACATCATATATAGGGCAATCCCGGTCATAATTCTCAGTCAGGTCACATGGATGGCTTTCACCAACTTCAATCCCTGCAAAATTGGGTTGGCAACACTGATGCAACCCCGATGTTGTAAATCTGATGGCATGTGCCCTGGAGTTCCTATAATATAATGTACAGTGGGTCGATCGGATATCCACTCCACGTATGTAGTTTCTTGCAGCACCACGTATTTTGGATGGTCGACTGAAGTGCCCATAGGTGGCGTCGGAGGTATACCTGGACCCTCCAAAGTACAACAGAGAATGGGACATGTGACATGACCCTGAAAGAACCAGGTACTTAGTACCCATTTTCTATACTTTGAGACTCCAGGTACTTCCACTTCGCCTTCCAGTGAAAAGCACCAACCCGCCAACCCGTCTGTCGTCTCTCGACCGCCAGAGGGCGCCCAACTCGGCTCCGAGAGTCGGAACTGGCTTCGAACTTGCCTCGGACCTCGGGGTCGAAGATGGACCTGGAGGACCCCTAGCGCACCGCACGCGCAGGGGGGCGCTCCGCGACGCTACGCTACGCCGTTCCGCCGTTTTCGGCGTGCCTAATAGCGCGGCAAGGACGGAGGACGGGGAAGCAACAGGCTTTTTGTTGGGGGAGGGTGGGGGCGCGCAGGCCAGTTGGAGGTGCCCAAAAGCTGTATCTTGACTCGTTTTGAAGTGCAGCTTTGAGACTCGTTGCACGTATCTTCCGGAACTGTTGGATCGCCGCGTCGGACCGTTAATGAACAAACAATCGACAGGACTTCCAGGGGAGAGTTCACTCAGTATCCAGGTTTCCAGAAGTATCAATGATATCATCAGATATCATATAAATCCTTCATGTCGGGGTCACCAGGCTGGTTTCGCCCCAGCCCACTACGATCAGGGACCTCCAGACAGGACACCCGAAAGAAGGTTCGGGTACATAAAATGACTATAACTTTTGTGATTTTTTGCGGCCACTGGATTCTTGTCAGTTTCTTCATGAACCCCCAAGAGTTGAAATCTTTGGGGCTTGAGGTGTCCACGGCGTCTGCCCGAATTGAAAGTCCTGGAAAGGTTGGAGAGACGACATGGAGACACAGGTTTAATGTGTTCAGTGACGTTCAAAAAGAGATCTAGTACTGGTACTAGTACTGGTATATTACAATATATATATATATATATTATATGTACACTGTATACTTACGTACTATATCATCTGTGAAGCTGCATGTTCGGGTCTTAAAACACATTGAACATGACTCTTGAGGTCACTTTCCACCAAAAGGCCAGGAGTGTTGCTTTGCGACACAGCCCTCGATGAGCTGATGTCTGTGCACCACGGTGCGCCACGATGATCGTTTCTCTGTCTAGCTTGCTTTTGCTTTAAACATATCCAGAACTTCCAGTGATTCATCTTACCCCACCTGATAGTCATGATCCACCACATGACTATCAGGTGAATCAGGTGTGGTAAAATGAGTCATTTGGACTTTCAGGGATTGGATCATGTTTTTCACATGCTCCAAGTGGAGAGACGGTCTCAATTCGACCATTTAGTGGACCAGGAAGACCACCAAACGTCGGCGGGGGCGGCATAAGTCTGGTGGAAAAAAAAAGAACACAATGGTGGAATGGCTGCAGTGCAATCGAGCCTCAGGAGGGTCTCCCCAGATTCAACACACCTGAATGAACGGATGCTGCTCCGGTGGTCCACGGTTTCCGTTGCCAAAAAGGCTGAGTCACAAGTAGTCCGGCTGCACCCATGCTTGGCAGAGGTTTTGAGGGCTGGGCCTCTGATGCCGCTGCCCCATCATCGGTGTCATGCCACAGTTGGGACATGTCGGCAGGTCTGGCACCAAGCCCAGCTTGCCTTGGTGTGAGCGGAGAGCAAGAAGCCATTCAGAATGACGCGAAGGGTTGGAATGATGGAATCCGATTAATATACCTGGACCCTCCAAAGTACCCTGGAAATAGGACATGACCTGTAAAACCAGGCGCTTGTACCCATTATCTCAGGTACTTTGAGACTCCTGGTAGATGGGTGTAAGATGGGTGGAGGGGCTCCCCAATAATGTAACTGGTTCATAACTGGTCCATGTGGGTTTTGGAGGGTTACGGGCATGACGGGTCGTCTTACGGGTCTTACGAAGATTCCGCCCAGATCTAATTTGGACACAGGGAGCCGACCGTGTGAATTGCGTGTATGATTTGGTTTGAACTTCCCATGTCCGGAGCTTTATGATGCTTTAGGATTCATGTTCATCACATATACGACCTTTGGGGCGACACATTGTGTCCCCAAGGTTGGTTAAGCAGCTGCGCTCTCGTGCTGTAGGGTGGTGAGTCAAAACGTATCAAAACCATTCAAAACCCAAACATCCTGCAACCATCACATACAGTCATTCAAAGTGATACAAGCTGCACGAACCTCGAAGACCAATACCACCCTACAAATGGCACATCCTTGAAGATCCTGCACGCCCTTCCCAACCCAACAACAAGATATCCCAAATTCTTCAAAACAAAATTAATTTATGACATTGGGGTGTTTTTTCCCTGGGGTCTTTCTGGGGCGGCATCATGTCCCCATGTCAGTTCATGGTCTTCATGTCCTAACCTCCAGGGATGAGAAAACCACAAAAAACCATTACTCAACCATCCCACACATGAATACTGGCGTCGAACGAAGGACTGGCGCATTGCTCCAGGCTCCAGCTGCTTCGCCGCACCGAGCTGCTCCAGCGCCAGGTTGGGGAACTCCTCTCCGCCCAACAGGAACAGGACCTCGCTGGTGCGGTCGGCGGTGGAACGGAGGCGGGCGATGCCAGGATTCCCCCGGATGTGATGGATGGAATCCCGAACCATCGCTTGACGGATTGGAAGACTACGAGCTCCAGCATATGTTTAATCGTCTTGGACGGGTGTGAAGTCTTCCCATATATATAAGGAATGTTCAAAAAACTTGGTGTTTTCAAGACTTGTGGTGTTTTGAGCTCGGGTCAGGGTAAATGCTGCGAATTCTTTTCTCAGCAAAGTGAGCGAGGAAGTTGAGGTCGATCCAAGATTCCAAAAATCAGCCGGGCAAAATCAGTTGGAAACAAAACCTAGTGCCTCCGCCTTCTTTAGCGAATACACTGGGGATACTCCAGCCTTGAAATACTTAAAGTAAGGCTGACCTTCATTAACCGTGGCCGGTTTGCGGATGAATTTTTGGACCACCCATCCATTTGCATGCTTTTCCTCCGATTCAAAATTTGTGGACGGGTTTGCTTTCTGTACTGCTTTCTGTACAGCCGGCTTTTTAAAGGTTTTGTTCCCCGATGCCTCCGTTTCAGCATCATCATCATCCACTGGGGAATCTTTCTTCTCGCCCTTCAAAATCAAAGGCGACTGAAAAACTTCCCTCTCATTCTCACTCCGCACCCGTGCTGCTGCCATGATTCCCTCCATCATAGAAGCAGGCCTCTTCATTCGAAGAAGTGGCAGCGTACGTGCCTTCGTTGAACTCTTACGCTTAGGCCCCTGCGCACCGCTTTCCTCCTCATGTGGTGCGTCACTCTTGTCATGCTTATTGTCCGTCTTTTTCTCCTCCGCCACCCTCTTGTTTGCTGCTGCTGGTCGCTTCATCTTGTGCACAATCGTACTACCTTGGGCATGATCCCCAGTCAAAGCTGTAAAATTTCATAATAATACATGACAATCTTTGGTACTGAATACTGAAATCAGAACCAACTCTAGATGCATTCACACCAGACCAGCAACTAGAGCCAATGAGTTCAACATTGCAGAATAGCTACCGTTTTTAGTAAGTTGTTTTTCTGTTTGCTAAGCTTGCTGTCTAGAAGCCCTCATGACCTGCGTGCCCTTCTGACTTTACAGCCTGCTGACGACCTCGCCCACGGCCACGCCCGCGAGCTTGCCCACCACGACCACGCCCGCGATCTTGCCCACGACCCCTTGCGCGACCCCTTCCTTCTGGCAGAGCTTCTGGAGATGGAGACTGCTCAAGACCGCTCGGGTTGCCAGGTGAAGCGGCCGCTGTGCCTTGAGGTGAAGTAGCCGTAGCCAATGTTGTCTTCGGACTCACTCCTGTGGCAGGTTGCATCTGAGAACTTCGCAAAATATGACCTTGGATGTCAAAGACACCTGAAGCCATGAATGACATTGCAACAAATTGCCGGGCTAAATAACCTCGAACCGATCAGCTTTGGGCAAGCTCAAAATTTGCAATTGACATCCCTTTGCAACTTCTAAATTGAGATGACACATACATTGCTACTATCAAATTGAGATGTTCTAAATACTAACAAAACCTTCATCTAGTTCCGCATCTGGCACCAGCAATAAATTGACATGTTTCTTTCGAGCTGGTGTCTTCCATGTGCCATGCCTCACTCACAGCTTCACCCCTCTAAATGCAAACAGATTGCTGCACACTGGTTCCTTTTCAAATCCCATATGCAGAATTCCTGCTGCCATCTACAGCAAAGGATGAATTGCCGTTTTAATCTTGACCAAAACGAGCTCGGCTTGTCCGAGCAAATTGTGCACATATGGCAGGCCTGTATTGCACTCAGCTTTGAGATGGTTCATCTCATCTTGAGCTTTACTCAACATGAGGCGAAAATGTTCTGGATCTGCTACGATGACGCTCTGTAGATGTGCCCATGTTTCTGGGGGACCCACAATGTCATGTGCATCGGCAATCCACGTCGACAACTGGGAGATGCGGTCATCGCCATCCATGGCAGCCTTGAAGGTCATGTTGCTGAGGACTGTCAACAAAAGGATCATCTCCATGATGACAGCCATGTCATTCTGGTCCTGAGCAATCACCGGCAAGCTCCGAAAGCGCATCAAAAACTCTCGGACGCATTCATGGCCAAAGGAGGACTTCTCGTACATCCCTGACATGCCATGCAGGAAATGCAAGCCCTGCCACATCACCAGCACATCCGTGTACATCAAAGGCATTGGTCGCAACAATTGGATGGGCGACAAGCTACACCCCGTTCTACCTGAGCCACGTTGCTAGAATGATGATGGAACATCTATCTCTAAGTTGCTTCACAGCCAGATGCTTCACACTATGATGATGATGGAGCTTGACAGCCACTCTGCCCGCCGACTAAAATCTGTTGGAAAGCTGCTGCTATGGCGCGGCAAGAATGCTGCATTGTTTCCACTGCTTCACTAGCCGGCAAATCAAAATAGCACAGTCCGTTCTATGTTGTTGCTAGCCTTGCTTCTCACACCCCGCGAAGTTTCTCAAAAGATTCCAATCTACAAAGTTCAATGTGAATATCATAACATGTCATAACGAATCCAAATGGAAACTCAATGAACAATAAGGTTGATAATTTGATAATAACAATTAATTGAAATTGACATCTCTTTGGAGAAGAGCTTGCAACGAACAGGCGGATATGCTCCACGGCCCGTGTGCTGGCACTCCGTTCCAGCGGGTCAGCCAAAACACCAGTTGTTCAAAATAAAAGCAGAATCAACAATGCAATTAATCAAGAAAACATCCGCAGGGTAAACAGGTCTCGGGGGGTTGGTTTCACACAGTGTTGATTAGATCCACCCAAAACTGAAGAGGTCAAACCCTAAACCAACTAGTTGATTTTCATAGGCTTCCCCGCTTTCAACTGCAGCGAACACTTGGTAACTATATGGGGTTTTTGCAGCTTCAGCGTGGCCCCAATTCGCTCAAACCGAAATCGGAAGACTGGAATCAACTGCTGGAACTCGCTAGCCTTCCCAATGACTTTACAGAAAAAGTTCTTGCCACTCAGCTTGTCAGGGGTCACGCACTTGAAGCGCATATGGTTTTTGTAGGAGACTTCGAATCCGTCCATGCCGCTCTCAAGGTTGGCATCATCCTTCCTCTTGACGTTCAGGTAGGAGATCTTGTGGTCGGTGATGTTCTTCTCATTTTCACACATCAGCAAGAGTTTGAATAGGGAAATCACCGAGGTTCCAGAGCCATCCTGCTTCCATGAAGTTTCGTCCAACTGAATCAATGTCTTGTCACCCTGGGGCAGCTTGAACTCAAGCCCTTCTTCACCTTCAGCAGGCACGTATTGGCCAGTCCCGAAGCCGCCGATCTGGACATGCTTGCCTATCATCTTGTCGGCGGATGACGAATAAAGCCACAAAGATTTGTCTTTCCCAAGGATCAAGTCCACACCGCTGATTTCAGAAGCGACCTTCAATTCCAGGCCTGGTGATTCTTCGAGCTTTGCCAAGGACTCTTTCTCCTCATTCTCTGATGTAGATGGCAGGGGCTCAGGTTGTTCCTGCTCTTCCGAAGCCTCCACGACTTGCCTGGTAGCTGCATCAGCTCCAGCAGATCCTATCAATGCAAGGTGCTTTTCTCGGAGGCTTTGATAATCCTCTGTGATGCTTCCTCCCTGGGTTGTCCAGAAACGGTGTTCGTCCGACTTGATCACCATTTTGCCTCCAACTCGTTCGAGGACCTCGAACTGCAAGGTATCGAGGCTGCTCATGGCGGCTGCACCTCCTGGAACTGATGAGATTTCATCCTGAGTGAGATCTGGTGCATTGAGGTTGATGCGTTGGCCTGCGAACTCCAGCTTCCCTGATAGCCATGAGTCGACCACCTCCCGAGTGAGTCTCGCTGCTCCAAACTGGTCCTTGTTGAGCCACCAAATGCTCTGGTAAAAGAGCTGCTCCGTGTTGAATCCACCCTTGAGCTCCTCATGCAATTCCCGAAGTTGAAAAGCCTCAACATGCAGTGAAACAAATTGGGGGGCCAACACCTCCCGCATACAAAATACAAACAAATGAAATTATTATCACCCAATTGTTGATCACCATGGAGTGCCTTTTACTTAATTTAGGGACCCAGACCTTGAATGTTCCCAACCCTTCTCGCTGCTTGCTTTTGTCCCATTTCCTGCTGTTGTCTTTTGCTGCCGAATTATGATGAGTTGATAAACTCAAACATTAAATGAACCAACTTCTTTAATCGCTGTCAACTGAATTAGCCTGCAATACGCTTCGCTTGTGAAGCATTGGCGGCAACAACATACAAAAAAAAAGGTGGAGGATTTCTAGGTTTTCCATTCTTATATCGCATGCCTTCACCCCCGGCTAAGATGTTGCGGCACTGTACTGGGGCCTTCTCTTTGAAGTAATCAATGAGACAGGCTTCCAATGTTTCTATTTGCGCCAGTGAATGACTGGCATGAATGCAACGCATCTCACGAAAGTTTCCCTCGAAGTAGTATTGGGCTCGAAGTTCCAAAGATTGTGTGATGCCAATCTTGAAGACAGCTAGTTGTTCTCCTCCATATTTGAGACGAACTTGATGGATTTGCTCCTGTGTGTTGGTGTTTTTGGGTGGTGATGGGATGCGATGTGGAAATTGAAAGTTGGTAGCTTTTATTAAACTTACTTGAACTTGATGCTTTGTTTGTTTCCTGGCCTTGCAGTGCAGCAAAATTTTTCCAGCGGTCGTTGATGGTGGTTTCACACGAACTGAAAAGCCCAAAGTGGCTGACAGCGATGTATGCCACTTGGTTGGCAAAGGGGTGTAAGGGTTCTTCTCATCTGGGTAAGTGTCAGCGTCAATCTCCCAGGTAGGTCGGGTGGCTATCTCAATCTTGGGACGTTTTGGCTTGTCATCTCCAGAACTGCCATCATCATCATCATCATCATCATCATGCCATGGCACAATCCCTCCTAACTTTGCACTCCGAAAGAAACTGTCCGCTGGACACAGCATGGGCCAGGGAATGGACTTGGCAGTGATATTC